TTTTTTAAGGAAAAACAATGATGATGAAAATACCAGAGACAGATGATATCTTCAGAGTTTTACCTTTTTGTGCTGGTACGATGCAGAAGTTTAAGTCACAGCAAGTGTGTATGTACTCCCAGTTTGATAACTATCAATCATGATAGCTTGAAATTAAATTCATGCAGAATCACACATTGCAAACAGATGAAGTATAATTATACACAATCCAACCAGGTGCATCCACTTCAAATTACATCCAAAATGAATTTAGCCTTCATCAATTAAAAATGTTGTATAAATGCAATTTAAAAAAATTCCAGATTTGTGAAACTCAACAAAGACCAACAGTCATTGTAAGAGAATCACAGATTTTTAGAAACTCAGGAACAAAATGTACAACTATTTAGAAAGTTTACTTTTGTCAGCCAAATACAGCATTATAAATAGCAGCTGCATCTCATCTAGAAATTTTCATTATTTAGACTCCAATCAGCAGAAGACTGGAGTGTTATTGTGTTATGACTGGTTGGATTATGAACTGGTAGGAATTACAGCTTGTTAATTTAGATCCTTTTAAAGATGTGTTCTTAACCATTTCAAATTAAATTAATGTATCTAATCATAATAATTTAACTGTTTGTGAAGTTCAAGTACATACCATGATGGAGGATACCTAGAGAAATACAAATACAATTAAGAAAGAACTTTTGAACTCTCCAAAATAATCTAAAAGCAACAATGTCAAGGAACCAATTCCTATTATGACAATTGATACACAAACATACAAAGCTATGAGGCACTTCATTATGCTATTTTTAAAAGTGGAAAACATGATAGCAGAAAAGCAGGTGAAATAAGAATTTATATAGATACTGTTTAAAACAATCCAAATGCACTCTTCAGATAATTATCTATTTTAAATAACTACATTAATATGTGCTTATAGCCCCTCTGACTGCAGCAAGAAGTCCTCTCTTGCACATATATGATGCCATCACCACCGAACATATGATGGCTTCCACTGTGGCTTTGGGAGAAGGTGTAGAAGTAGACTGCCCTAGACCATCCTAGAACCCCAGGTGTTCAGAGGTCATGAAAAAAACTGAGTGACTAAGTCATTCTACTTTTAGGTTTAGAGGAAATTTTAAACATTCAATAAAATTAATATTAACAAAATATCTTTAGTAGACATGGTAAGAATAAAAAGAAATGTTTGCCTAAAGATTGTAATTGACTAGATCCTTGTGACTGTTTGATGACAGACAAAATTGGCCACATGTCTGTGGCCACAGAAATCAATTGTCAATGGTGTTGACTCAAACCTTCATGAATTCATTAAAATGAAATGATATAAATATAAATGATCTCTTGCCCAGCCTTCTGACATATAAACAAATCAGCTTTTAGCATTTAACTGTGTCTCCTCAGTCCAAAAGTCCTCAAGCCAGGAAATGCTGCCATGGTTATGTTCAGAGCAGTAGGCTTCAGTCTGCTTTCCCCGATACCCTCCAGGCTGCCAGCCAGCTGGAAGGGAGAGCAAGCCGCCATCCTCTCCAAGGGGACTAACACCGCTTTGTCTGCTGTATATATAGGTTGAGCATCCCTAATCTGAAAACCTCAAATTTTAAATGCTCCAAAATGTTTAACTTTCTGATCACTGATATAACATCACAAGTGGAAAATTCCTCACCTGACCTCATGTATTGGGTCACAGTCAAGAAGCAGGTGCACTAAAAATACTGTATACAATTACCTTCAGGCAATGTATGTAAGATGTCTATAAAACATAAATGAATTTTGTGCTTAGACTTGGGTTCCATCCCAAAGATATGTCATTATGTATATGCAAATACTCTAAAATGAAAAATAGAGTTCTCTGGCTTACAAAGAAAAATTTCACAACCACTGCTGTGATGAGAAGAACCCACTGATCTATGGCTCAGAGACAAGTTGTACTGTCTGTCCCAGCAGGCTTACATCTGATTCATGATCACAGCAGTTAGACGAATCCTGGTATACAGGGGCATTCAATAAATATTTGTTAGCTAGTGGGCAAGCATCTTATTTGTGTTACTTCTAAACTGACATGACTCCAGACAAGCTACTTCGTCTTTGTAGAATTCCAATTTCTTTTAACTGTGTACAATCAGGGTTTGCTCATGACAATAGCTAACATGAATGGAACATTTGCTAGTGGATCAGGCAGTCTCTTAAACTTTCAATACCCTGGTAAGGGAGGTATTGTTATTAACATCTCTAATATACAGATGAGGGAACTATCTATATATACTTCTATGGCCCAGGTTATAGCTACTCATTGATATCAGAACCCAGACAGTTTGAGTTCCCCAGTTCACATTCTTACTCACTACAATATTCTTCCTCTACTGAGGCCAAAACTAAATTGAGATACAGAGAATGATAGAAGTAAGCAGGACATCATACCCCTGCTACCTATTTTTAATACTTCATATGGGTAAGGGAAGTTTCTGGAGGGTGTGCAGAGCATGGAATCCTGCCCTAGGCGGGGTTGCAGAAATTATGTCCAATGGACTCTGGGTGCAGAGGTGGATGATTTAGCCAGTAGAGAATTCCCGTAGTGAAACAAAGGAGTCTTACAGGAAGTCCAAGCAACAGGCCCTGCAAGTTGGAAGCAGGTAAGAGGTTATGAAAACTGCACGACATCTGGTATTGACATAGCCACACGGGAGCTACAAGAGGATAATCGGGTCCATACAGATTGTAAAAGTTGTCTCACTCGGTTCTCTAGTGTTGTGGGTCTCATGCAACTTCCTCGAGTATCCTCAATTGAGGTCAGCAAGGAGGAAGGGAAGTTTGCCTTTCCCACTTGGGATAGAATCCAGAGACTGCCACAGCCTGGTGAGTACCAAGAACCAAGAACCTTCGTGGCCAAGTGCATGGGCAGTTATGTGCACCACTGTGGGCACAGGAAAGCCACACAGATGCACACAGCAGGCAGCACACGTTTAGAGGCCTGACTCAGGAGCACAGGAACCTCACTGCTTTGGAACTCCCACCGTATATAGGCTTAGGGAAGGATTGGGATTTCCATATGAGCTGATAGGGGCTTGAAACTAGTGGAATTCAAGTATTAATGGGAAAGAGACCTCATTTATATCCCCAGGCTGGTAGGCTGGGTTGGGGCAGGCAGACATCTCTATAATAAATGCTTCATCCATATCAATGTAGTGAGGAGCACATAAGAAATGGAAACATAATGTGTTCTGCCCATAAAATGAAACTGAAGTGGTATGAGAGGGGGGAGAGAGATTTTGCTTATATTATCCAGATGCATTATCTATATAGATGTTCTTTATAGTTTTGATTCATAGAATCTTTTAAGAATCCATCAAAAGCTCTAAAGTCTTAACCCAAGAAAATGCCCTCTCCCCTCCTTCTCAAAACACAAACCGGTTTTGCCTAACCCAGGATGCTTTTGCAGCTGCCACATAGAAGTTGTGGATCCCAACTCCTACTAACAATGACCTCTGTGACTACACCTACCACCCTGCTATTTTTCTTTATGGAACAAAGTCTTGTTGAAGGTCAACAGCAGTGTCTACAATGAAGCCCCCCTCTTTCAGTGTGGTTCACTTGTCTTTTGGCCACAGCTCTGGTGTGGATGCCTAGAGTCAACCTCTTATTTGTCCAGTGACACTTACTTGATGCAGCTTGTGTTCAGCATGTGTTGAAGGCAAGGCATCAAAATAAATGTCAGCCTTCCTTGGGCACACATCCTGGCCTTGCAGATTCTATTCTGATGGACATCAGGAGAGCAGCTTACTATGGAAAGAGCACTGGGCTAGGCTTTGAGAGGTAATGGACGCTGACTTAAACAAATCACTTAAGGTAAAGTCAGTTTTCCTATATGTGACATGGGCAGTAAGAGTTGCCTATTTTCTAAGGCTTTTGCGAGGATCATATGAAATTATCCCTGAAAAGATAATTTGGGAACAGAGACGTACGGCACATATATGTGCCTTCTTATTATTGTTTAGGCGATGTAGAAATAAAGTGTCCTTTTGGAATATTATTTAATCTGAAAAAGAAAGGTATTGTGGGACATTATCAGTTACAGCAGAGGAATAGTGTTTGATCAGTGTTTGAGTTCTGTGCCTGACTTTATGCCTCATTCCTTAGGCAACAGCCCAGGCCTAGGACAGAAGCATGAACATCTTTTCCAAGAAAGAACATATTTTACTTTTGTTCCTCTAAGACTTGGAGTCCTGCTCAGTACTGCAAATCCAGTGTGATTCCACCACTGTCCCCTCCCAACTTGGCAGCCAGTCCCCAAAATATTGACGAAGATAAGCTACAATTGATAAGCTCTGGCAGTTCTAGGAACAAAATGATCACAGAAGGAATAGGAACTCTTTTGAATCACACATGCTTCTGACCTTGACCAGAGTAGTTTCTAAAACTGCCTAACCTGTGCCCAGAAAGCTCTAGCATCCTCCCATCACAGCGTAGTAGATGGAATCATCCCAATAGGTATGTTCCATGTATGGCTACAAACACTAAAGTTTTCCACCAAGGAAAGCAGTTGCCATAATAATGCTTGGCAGGAGCAATCTGGAGGATGGGAAGTGCCAAGTGAGTCAGCAAAGTGTGCTGAGCTCACCTTGGCTGCCCCAGCGCTGTTCTTAGCGGCTGGCAGTGGTGCTTCTAACTGACTGATACCCTCTGAACATCAGGAACAGCAAGGAGCAGGTGGAAGGGAAAGTGAGTTAACCTTCTCTTGGCTTTGTGTGCAAGAAAAATCTTCATTTTTCAGTTCCATAAAAAATCAATAATCCTTTGAGAACAACAACAAAAAATTCTAAAATGAAAGCTTATGCATAATAGAATTGAGCATCCCATAAATGATATAACTATTGTTGCAGTAAGATGGACAAGCCAAAGGTGGACATTTCTTGTTCCTGTGAAAACTTCTGGGAAATAATTTTCTTTCATTAATAAAGAACAAACAAAAAGCAAGAACAAAAACAAAAACATACCATCTAACAGGGTGCCAAAGTGCATAACCTGCAAGTACTCCTTCTCCCGCATGAAACCCTTGAGGGGCGTGGCCCAGCCTTCACTCAAAACTTGGACCCACTGGAGATCCAACTGCAAAACACCAAAGCAAGTGAATATTTCCCTAAGTTGTTCTTCCATCATCTGGCCTTAGGTCAGTCCTTTTCATGTCAGTTGACAGACTTTGAGGCCAGAACTTTTTTATGCTTTAAGTGTTCCCACATATTAACGCTGACCTACAATCTAAGGACCAGACAGGTTTAAGTCTAGAACTTTCCTGTCGAAGAGTGATGAAAAGATTTCAATTTGAGATGATTTACTTAAACACTTAGGCTGTATCTATTCCCACAATGTGCAAATGAGTTGTTGATTCTCTCTCTCCATCTATCCTCCCCTCCCCCAACCTTCTTCCTTTCATTCTTCATTTCACAAAAATTCTGGTTTGGCTGTATTTTCTCCACCAGGTGGGCAGATAATTGGCTATTAGGATAGGGTCCCAGATTATTAGCAAGATACTGAAAATGTTTCAAACTCCAGTCCCTGGGACTCACAAGACTTCCATCTCTTTCCACTCCCCAGTCAGGGCCTATACATCAACAATGACAGACGATGTGTAGTCCAAATACATGTGGTTTCAGGTCTGTGCTTTACCTAGCCTCCTCCCCACCTGCAAATTCTTGTTCATCCTTGAAAACCTGGCTCACGCGTCACTGCTCTAAAACTTTTTCTGCTGTCCCTAAAACCAAAAATAATAAGCATTGGATTCTTTGAAGTTCTTGTGGAACATTTTGTTATTGGAACTAAAATGCCATGCTATAATTATAACTATGTGTCTACCTATCTGCCTGCAGTTTCAGGGTGCTCAGAATTTATTTTATGGAGTCGGATGTACTGTTTATAAATTGTTCATGACTTATCAGAGTATGGGCTCTTTAGGAGCCGAAGCAGGTTCCCTACTTATCCTACCTCTTAGAAATCTCCACTGCTTTAATGAGTAATAAAAAGGTTCCAATACACACTTCCAATATACACCTTCTATAGACCATCTAATACTGACTCATAAAACAGCCACGGCAGGGCAATTCAGCGCTGGGGTTGAATCTGACTCCATGCAGGTAATAAAATCAATGTAACCAAAGCTGTCTCTCTCTTTCCTCAGACTGTACTGTACCCTGGTGAAGTAAGAATGTCATTCGCAGAGTAGAAAAGATTGAGGTATTTGGATCATTTTAAATCAGGGTTTTTTATTTGTTTGTTTGTTTTCTCCAAATGCCTTTGTGTTTGCCCAAGAAGCCACTTGCATTCTGGACAAACTCTCCTTAGCCACTGCCAACAAATGATGCCTGATGCCCAACCCTCACCTCGCTGCAGGTATGAAGACAGCTGCGGAGAAGTGCCCTATACAAATACACAAGTTACTTTCCTGGTCTGACTCTACACATAGCATCGAGCAGTGCCTTGTGGCAACTCTTGGTGAGAGCCTGGCTTGTACAAGAAGTTTTAAAAAATGGCAAAAATGAAGTGATTTTCTGCATAGACTTTACATGTCCTTTATTTATGCCTTCCTTATTAATAGTAATTGTAGCAGGGTTATAAAGACTGACAATGAATCTAATTCTCCTTTATCAAAATGGTCCCTCTTACCTTGGTAATTGACAGTGAAGGGAGAGTGTCAGCCTCAGCTCGAATTTGGTCAAGTTTGTTTTCAGGCACAAAGAGTTCGTGGATGCCTTTGATGATGGAATGGGGTACAATGTTCTGAAATGAAGCAGAATCAATAACAACTGAAGTGAAAACTTCAAAAGGAAAGCTTCTGTAAAAGAAGCGTAGATTATCTTCCTTGACTCTTATTAAATTAAAAAAGAGAGACATTAGTCCATTCACCTGCTCTTGCAGAAGTTCCACCACTTGCTGGACACAGTCACTCACTGAGGACAAGTTGGTTTTAAGCACACACTCAGGGGTTTCAGGTTTCTCATAATCAGAATCAATGCCTGTAAATCCTGCAAAGCATAAGAGTAAAAAAAAAATCACATCTGTACTGACAGGTTGCTTGTATGAATGACTGATTTGGCAGAGACAGACAGGACCATCCCAAATGCCCACGACGGTAAGAACTGTGTTGGGAACACAATCCACGTCTCCCATCTGAATGACAGGGACTCAGCTAGTTAGGCCATCACTTGCTGCCTCCCAGAGTCTGTACTGGCAAGATGTTGGAATCAGGAGCTGAGCTGGGAAACAAACCTAGGTGCTCTTAATAGGAGACTTAACTATTATCTTAACTGCCGGGCCAAACATCCCAGAAAAATCCTTTTAATCAATAAGGCATAATGTGTTGGAATGGAACAATGTGTTAAACTGAGAATTCAAATTATAACTGAAAAGATCAAACAACCATCCTGACCTCCAACTACAGGTAAGAAGATATACAGCTGTATTTTCAATATGGAAAGCCTAAGCCATCAACAACATCTGGCTAAGTCCAAGCCCTGGACAACTGATTGGGACTGAAAGGAAAAGGAAGAAAGGGGGAGTATGAAACACAGCCCTGATCTATTTCAGTTCTCAGTATTTACTGCTATTGGCTGAGGTTCTTAAAGAACAAAAGAAAATCCCACCTTTTATTTTAGTTGAATACTGTAATCAATACACAATTATTCTTAAGTGCTGAAACTTAACTGAAAAGTGATTGCTGTTAAATATAAGAGTGGGAATAAGAGAGGGAAGAGATGTGCAATTTGGGACATGCTCAGGCTGACTTGCCTCAAACGGTAGAGTTGGAAACATACCAGGGGATTCCAATTCAATCCTATCAGGGTGGCATGTACCAATGCCATCTCACTGGTCCCAGTGATCAATTTCTGTTCACAATTGATCATAATGATGGGACTAAGAACCAAAGGGATCACATAAACAAGAATAGTGTCTGCAAATACTAGCTGATAGAATAAAAAAGGGAGAGAATGATCCAACATGGGAAGTGAGATACACAGCAGACCCACAAAATGGCAGATGTCCTAAACAGCACTCTGGCCTCATAATCAGCCCTTAAGGCATGCGGATCCGGCTGAAAAGCCCATGAGAGTATTTCAGGCATGGAAAGCCAAGACACTCTGGGGAAAAAAAAAAAAAACAAAAAACCTAAATGAAAAATCTCCCCAAGTGAGATCCCAGTGGAAAGAACGGGTCATCAAAGAAGGAGGTACCTTTCTTTCTCTGAAGGGAGGAGAGAACTTCCACTTTGACTATGACCTTGTCTAAATATGATCAGAGTCGGTGAACTCAGGGGGCTTCCATAGCCTTGGCAGCTCATGACAAGAGCCTAGGGTGATTACTGATGCCATAAGCAAGAGCGTCAATTTGTTAAGTCAACAACAGGAGTCACTGTGCACTTACTCCTCATGTAGGATCTCTGTCCTTAGTGTGCTGTACATTGTGATTTAATGCTATAACTAGTACTCAAACGGTATTTTTCACTATATGTTTCTGTGTGGGAGCAAACTGTTGAAATCTTTACTTAATGTATGCTAAACTGATCTTCTGTATATAAAGAGAATCGAAAATGAATCTTGATGTGAATGGAAGGGGAGAGGGAGTGGGAAAGGGGAGGGTTGCGGGTGGGAGGGAAGTTATGGGGGGAGGAAGCCATTGTAATCCATAAGCTGTACTTTGGAAATTTATATTCATTAAATAAAAGTTAAAAAAAAGAGAAAATCCCACCTTTTAATAAGCCCACAGACACAGTGGACGTATTATGACTTTATAAAAAGCTGTGTATATTACATGCAATTCTATAAAACAGAGTTTGAAACTTCAGACAGACTCTGAGGACAGAAGTATGTGCAGCTGAGTGATTGGCAAAGGGGCCGCTAGCTCTTTCCCGTACCTTTAATCTCTCCAGCTCGGGCCCGTTTGTACAGGCCTTTTACATCTCTGCTTTCACAAATATTTAGAGGTGCATCTACAAATATTTCGAAGAATGGCAGTCCTGCTGATTCATGGATTTTGCGGGCATTCTCACGATCCTGAAAAACAATACACTTAAGAATGTAAACTGAGGTTTCTGTGGTTTGAGTGTGTCCCCCAGATTTTATGTCTCGGAAACTTTATTCCCAAATTTCTGTTTTGGAGGTGAGGTCTTTGAGAGGTAATTACGACTAGTTAAAGGCCTCAGGGTCAGTCCCCCAGGATGGGTGGGACTGGACGGCTTCTCTGTCTCACTATGCTCTGTCCTCTGTGATGTTATGCCTCATCAAGGCCTTCACCAGGTGCCAAGCAGATGTCAGAGCCACGTTCTCCGACTTCCCAGTATCCACAACCTTGAACTGAACAAACCTCTATTCTTCATAAATTTCCCAGAAATTTATGGACTAAGACAACAGAAAATGGACTAAGACAAAATTTCACAATGAAATTTTTAATCACACAACACTGTGTGTTCTGTTACTTGATAACCTCGAGATAACACCGGGGTTAGTTCTCTGCAGCGACCTTTAGAGACAGTCCAGAAGCTTCACTCTGGTAAACACAGCTATCCCAGGAGCACTCAGAAAAACCGCAGAAAACAGCCCCTCCTAGCAGGAAAGCCTGGCAACACAAGAGCACTGGACCCAATTCATGGATTCAAAGCACATAGCACATTATTTGTAGCTCCCAGAAATTTCCTGTTTGAAAACAAGAAGAGTGTCACACCACCTCGGTGACGTCAACACTAAGCACACATAACCTGATGCTTTGGAAGTGAACTGCTCTTTTCTTTAGCCAACTAAACGTTCTTTTTCAGACAATGGATTGCAGAGTGTTAGAGTTTGTGTTGTGTAACTTTTTTCTTCTTTTCAACTCTGACCAAATATCCCTTATAATTGTGAGAGTGAGAAGGTTTCTGTCAACTGGAGACCTGGCATCTGGAAGTAAAGGAACTCTCTTTATATGGCTAATATTAAATAGAGGAAACGAGGGAGCATGTAAGAGGAGGAAGAAACAGCAGTGAAATGCAAAGTCTAACATTCCTTTGTACCCTCCCGGGCACCCACACCTTCTCCTAGCAGTTTGAGAGTATTTGCACTATCTGTGAGAATTGTGTGCAGTGCCAAAGCTTTTTGGATTTTTTTTTTTTATTCTGAGGAGGCAGAAACACAGACACACACAGACACGCACACACACACAGAGTGAGACAGAGTGTTCCCCATCTGCTGGTTCATTCCTCCAATGCCTGTAACAGCCAGATCTTACCTGGGGCCAAAGCCAGGAGCCAGGAGTGCAATAAAGGCCTCCCACATAGGTCTCAGGAACCCAATACTTGAACCATTCTCACTGCTTCCCTGGGTCTACTTTGGTGGGAAGCTGGAGTCAGCATCCAGAACCGGGAACTGAACCCAGGTACTCTGATAGGGAATGCAGGTGCCTTCGCTGCCAGCCTAAATGCCTCTTCCCCAGAACTTTTTACCTTTGCGAAAGGAGAGATGAAGCTGGTAATGCAGACCAGACCGGCATCGGCAAACAGCTTTGCCACCTCGGCAATCCGTCGGATATTTTCTTCTCTGTCTCCAGAAGAGAACCCAAGGTTTTTGTTAAGCCCGTGACGGATATTGTCGCCATCCAGGGAGTAACAGGGGATGCCATGGGAGACGAGGTACTCTTCCAGGGCAAAACTGATGGTTGTTTTCCCAGCACCGGAGAGTCCTATGCAGAACAGGCAAGACACACTGGCATTGTCTCAGGTCGTTTAAGGAGGGAAGTTCTGAGCTGACCCTGCACTTTTCAGTGTTAACTGCTCCTCATTACAATCACTTGAGTGACTTCAAATCAAAATCATTAAAACCTAGAAAAAGCATAATTTACTACAAACCAAGTACTTGTGTTGCTTTTTCAAATTCTGAAATAACTGTTCCGATTATATTTATAAAATTTTCAAAGTGAGCAACTTTCATAACAGTGAGACCTGGGGACTATGTCTGGTCCTCAGTGTGTTCTCTTTTGCCTGCAGAATGCTTTCAAGATTAGGAAGTCATGAATACTAATCTGCATTCTGGATTCTCTTCGAAAACCAAGAGATGCAGAACCAGTAGTCTCATATCCGCTCATATGACAGCGATCAGCTGCGGGGGTAGGGAGATAGCCCACCTACCTGAGAGCCCATAAAACCACATGATTTTTCCAAAATGATGCTCAAAATATGGACATGTACCATCCTGAACTAGGCTGTAGGTTTTTCTATTTTTTTAAAACTCTTAGGCCTATGGTTTCAAAGCACAATGACTGAAAAAGCACACTTCATAATTTCTGTATGAGGAAAAACATAAGGAAAAGGGGAAAGAAATGCAACCTGCCCACATTACTTACAAACGCAAAATCTGAACTTCCCTGAATTCTAAAATTCCAGTTGTCCTAAGGATTTCTGAGCCTGAAGAACATTCTTTGGTGTCAAGCTGCTGTCAGACAGTGTCCAGTATGTAAATGGAAAACTCTTTGGAGGGGAAAAATAGGCAAAGAGGTTAATAAAGAGAAGGCAGGAGAAAAGAGGAAAACGGTAGAAAAAGTAAGAGAAAAGTAGGGACAGAGGACAGAGAGAAAAAGAGACTAGGAGGAAAAAGGAGAGCTCTAAAAAGTAAGTAAATGATTTGCCTATCTTATTTACATCTTAAAGTCATGCCCTGGGCTTGGACAGAGGATCCTTAGAAGAAATGGCTACATGAACTGAGCTAAATTACTGTTGATGGCACTATCTGTAATTGTGTTACTCAATTTCGTTTTGATAAAGATTTAAGAGTTAAATTCCTCTTGGAATCTATGTCAGGTTGCAGGGTAGGGAAATCGGGACTCCTGCATCTCTATAATGTTCTCTTGCAATAGAAAATGTGATAAATAATAGAAACTTCCCTTCATGTTACAGCAGCAGGGATGCTAAATCCGAAATCACAGTAACTGTATGTAACTAGCTGGTTGGCACATTTATTTTAACACACTGGGGTCATATTAGTTACACCCACTGAGAACTGTACTCTGGGCCAAGGCACTTACGCCTTGTTTCATTTAGTTCTACCAACACCTCCATGAGACAGGTACTATCTTTATTCTCATCTTTCACATAAGGAAACTGAGGCTTAGAGAGGTGAATCAGCTTGTCCAAAGTCACACTGCTCCAGGAACAGTTGGGGTTCAAATTTTTGTCTCTGCATTTGAAGTATTTGGTGTCTTCCAACATCTCTGGTCAATATTATACCTCTGTGGCATAGGAATGAAAAACTAATAAATAAAAGGTCAGTTTTTAAAGGATTCATTTACTTACTTGAAAAGGAGAGTCACAGAGAGAGAGAGAGAGAGAGAGAGAGAGAAAGAATTTTCCATCCACTGGTTCACTCTGCAAATGGCCGCAACAACCAGGCTATGTTAGGCTGAAACCAGGAGCCAGGACCTCTATCTGGCTCTCCCATGTGGGTGGCAGAGGCCCAAGCACTTGAACCACCTTATGCTGCTTTCCTAGCACATAAACAGAGTGCTGGGATCAGAAGTGGAGAAGCTGGGATCCTATATGGGATACTGGCATTGCAGGTGGTGGGTTAACTTTACCACAATGCTGGCCTCAAAGATGATTTTTCAAGAGTTAAAAAAAAGAAAAGAAAAGAAAAGAGGAAATCCACGCTAGATTTTTCTCCTCTTGTCCTAGTGCTCTTTTTCTCTTCAAGGGGAAGCTGCATTAGAAAAAATGAACTTTGTATATATGTCTGAACACAAAAGTTACTTTTGTCAGTAAATCTCTTATGAAGGAAAACATATAAAAAGAGGGAAACTTCTGGACTACAGCTGTACCTACTGCCTCAAATCATGTCTCTCAGAGGGAGCTGGGACAAATATCCTAGGAATAGTGACAGATGAATGCTGCATATTGCAATCTAGCAGACTCCTTGCCCTGTGTATTTTCACGCTGGAGGCAAAATTTAGGTATGAATGGAACCAAGAAACCAAAGACACTAGAAAAATACTTCTAAAAAGTATTGCCTTCTAAAAAGGCAATAATGAGTCTGATTTGGACAAGAAAGGAGAAAGACCCAGAACATCAAGCAAAAATGCATGGCAGGTTCCTGCTTGCCATATTCTTGAAAATTATCCAGGTTAGACTACGTCAGCCTTTGTAAGCACTGATTTTGTAATTTAAATAAACTTAGTTTTACATCTGGGCTCATCTCCACTTGAAAAGTCATGTCCATGAAATGAACTTGATTTGTCCTTTTGAGTCCAGGCTCTGTCAGACTCATTCCCCAGGGAATGGCTTTCTCTACCTTGTACTCAGGGTATAAGGTAACAGCCAGGACTTGGGGGGGTGGGGGAGGCTGAAATTCTAATTGCAGTTCTGCTCCTAACCCTCACCTTTGATGTTCTGTGGCTATAAGGACACAAGAAAAGGGGGATTCATTACATACCTCAGTGGGCGCGTGTTCTTCCCAAGAGGAAATTCTCAGCCAAATGGAATCACTGGTGTTCTTCCTAGCACAGATCCTTATACTTGTTCAGTTTAAAGATTCTCCCTTATTATATCAGAACATCAGAAAACCACAGAAAGTATCTCTGAACACCCAAAATCTTCCAGATGGCCAAATGCTTGACATCAAGGTAGGAAAGCCCCAATTGCAATGGCCAGCTTAGAGATGCACACAGAGGGACCAAGTTCCTTGGGACTGAAAAGGGATGCTATAATTGACTTGCCCCATCCTTTCTGCCAATGAGGAGAAAACTGACAGTTATCTGCTTTTTTGTGATTTGATTCAACTATTTCTACGGTCAGATCTTGCTCTCTTTCTCACTGATGTAGAGTTAGAATTGACAACCTGTCCTTCTACTATACCTCTCAGCCTACTTCTGCTGTTAAAAGAAACATGTAACATGTGCAATCTGTTAATCTGTTCTCCTTAAAATTGTGCATCTCACATCTGTTTTCAATTAAAACACTGAACCACACACACACAAGACACAGATAGATAGCTAGATAGATTCTCAACAGGGCATACCTGTTAGCCACACGGTACATCCTCGGAATCCACCCTTTGTTCCAACCACCTGCCCTCTCTTATTTCTGCTTACATGGTGGGCCTGATAGACTACATTTGTGGATTTCTGCTGGCTCTCCTATAAAACAAAATAATATCAAGCACAATATTTTATTAATAAAATACATATTTGCTACTGAGCTAACATAAATCCATGTTAACTTCTGAATTGCAAAACTGATATATGCAACAATTTACATGAAAGATATTTTTAAAAAGACTCACCCTTGTCCCTCCTAATATAATCTTTTTTTACTTCTGCGCGTTACCCTGAGCCATAGCTACGTAGATATATTTCTCACAGCTGTGAGTGTATAAACCTGCTTTCTTCATTCCAATCCTTTCACTTAATGTTATTTGTGACTTTTTCTCTCCAAAAAGTAATTGTTTTTTAATATTACTATATAATAGTTCATGGGCTTAGGCAACATAAGCTGTTAAAACAACTAATAAAATTATAATGCACAACAAATTACATTCATAGTCTTTCCCAACTCTACTTCGTCTTCTACTGTTGGCAAATAGAGTAACAGTTATTAATTCTACTAATTTAGAAACAAACAACACCTTTAGCGTGCCCACTAGGATCCTTTGAGAATTTAACTCCAATTTGACAATTTTTAATGCTATTAAGAAGTCTGGTTTCAGAACATTTTAACTTCTGTACCTTAGGAAATGGCTAGGGGGATCTCTTAGCTTCCATAAATGCATGTTCCCCCAAGTCCTATGGATTCGAACTGAGAAAAGTCTAAATGCTCCAGCAGCTGAGGAAATGCTAGGGTGGGACCGGTTGAGCCAAAGTCTCTACAAAGCCAGGGAGAGGCCCAGATTAGAGCAGCAGGACTAAAATCGGCCATGACTCTTGCTCCTACCCAGACACATGAGGCAAGGTAAAGAGTTTCGTCTGTGAGCACAGAGGATTGGCTATTTCTTATCAAGAACTAAACTTGGTGTTCTCTTTCCTAAGGGTCAATGCATGACCCTTCTAATCTTTCAGGCTCAGCAGAAATGGAAACACCCCAGTTATTAGACTTGGAGACTAATTCAAATATCAAATGTCTTTATTTTGACTGTAATAAAATCAGCATTGTGAGGTCACAGCAATCTAACCATGATTCTAATCTCAGACTGCAAAGTGTATCCAATGAATAGAATGACCCAATAAACACAGTTTTTGGTTTAGCTCTTTTGTCTTTAATAATATATGATCCAAAGTGTGGAAGACACCATAATGACAGTTAAACAAAAAGGTTGAGCACTGCCCATATCTGTCTGTGGTGGGGTAGCTGAATTTCTAATTACAGACGTAATCCAGGTTTCTGAACCTTAAAAATTGATGAGCCTTATAAACACCACATATGTACAGCCATCAGGGCTAAGAAAGCAAAGATTTTTGGGGGGGGGGGACCTAAAGGCTCTTGGAAAATTCGGAGCCATACTAGGAGCAATTCTATACCAAATCAAGTCACCTCTTTTTGCCACCTCCTTTGGTTGAGGGGGGGGCAGTGGTGGCAAGAGGGACAGTTTGAAGGTTTGCTTGACATATGATGTGCACATCCTCCTACATGGCAAAGTTCTCCATGGATGTTGATGCTGTTGGTTATGACCCACTGGAGCCCAGCTGGATTAGGACCAGGGAGACATGGCTTCAAGATCTAGAGGGGAGGATTCCCCTGCTGCCCCTTGCAGAAGGGAGTTAAGAAAAGCAGAGCACTCCCATGGGGGTGGCCTGCGAGTGAGACAGAACCCAGCCAAGGGCCAGGCAGCAAGATCTGGCATTATCAGTATCAGAAAGACAGTCAAGAGGAAGGCGGCTGAAGGCATAGTGGGATCAGCTGGGTTAGGTTACCTAACACTCTCCAAAACTAGATGCTCTGATCATCCAGCAAACAAACTGGGTCAGAACCCAAGTCTGAAAAGTGAATACAGTCAAACAATGCAGCGGGATAGAGAACAGCAACAGCTTTCGCTTGAGAGAGGGTTCCTAGGTTGCGACAAAGTAGGCTACTCCATGGGATATCCTAGCAGTATTTCTCCTGAGCAAACAAGTCTCTCTCTCTCCTATTTTTTTTTTTTTTTTTGGACAGGCAGAGTTAGACAGTGAGAGAGAGACAGAGAGAGAAAGGTCTTCCTTCCGTTAGTTCACTCCCTTAATGGCCACCACAGCCAGCGCTGCGCTGATCCGAAGCCAAGAGCCAGGCGCTTCCTCCTGGTCTCCCATGCGGGTGCAGGGCCCAAGCACTGGGGCCATCCTCCACTGCACCCCGGGCCACAGCAGAGAGCTAGACTGGAAGAGAAGCAACTGGGACAGAATCTGGCGCCCTGACCAGGACTAGAACCTGGGGTGCCGGCACCGCAGACGGAGGATTAGCCCAGTGAGCCGCGGGCACCGGTCCCAAACAAGTCTCTTGAAGGTATTTTGTGTTCTTAGTACCAAGTGTTCTTCATAGCTGAAGGATAACATGTAAAATTCTTTTTTCTCTGTTTCCTTGCTAATTGATGCCACTAAACTCAAGAGCATTGTGTTTGAATATCAGGCCTAAAAGTCAGTTCACCTTGTCATTCACTGATTCTTTGATTAAGTTAAGTTTCTTGAGCTCCTACCATAGTCTAAGAGCAGTTCTAGAGACGGGGAACACAGTGTTAACCAAGAAGGATCCCTGCCATCATTTTGGGGAGAAAGACAAGAAGGTCATGTAATTGGGTCCCATTCCCTGGGGGAGGAGAAGGTTTGTATACTCTTTGTATACTATTTCTAGATACATAAAGAACATCTGCAACTGTGCAATAAAAAGACAACCCAATTTGTAAAAATAGGCAAAAGGTTTGAACAGTAATTTCACAAAGGAAGACAGACACGATCAGGAAAGAAGCACGCAGTGCTCAATGTCCCTAGTTATCTGAGAAATGCAAATTACAACAAAAATGACATGACAATGATCACATCTAATGGCAACAAGGACTTGCTCGCATGTGTTCATATGAGATGTAAAGTGGTACAATCATCCTGAAACAAAATGTGGAAGTTTCTTTTTATTTATTTTTTGGCAGGCAGAGTGAACAGTGAAAGAGAGAGACAGAGAAAGGTCTTCCTTTACCGTTGGTTCACCCTCCAATGGCCCCTGCAGCTGGCGTGCTGCGGCCGGCGCACTGCACGGATCTGAAGGCAGGAGCCAGGTGCTTCTCCTGGTCTCCCATGGGGTGCAGGGCCCAAGCACTTGGGCCATCCTCCACTGCACTCCCGGTCCACAGCAGAGAGCTGGCCTGGAAGAGGGGCAACTGGGACAGAAGCCGGCGCCCCAACCGGGACTAGAACCCAGTATGCCGGCACCGCAAGGTGGAGGATTAACCTAGTGAGCCTCGGCGCCAGCCGTGGAAGTTTCTTACAAAACTAAACATTTATCTCTTTTAGGGGTTGGGCATTACAACCATAGGTATCTGCTCAAAGGAAATGAAAACATGTGTCCACAAACAAGGTTTGTGCAGGGAAGGTCTCAGATATTTTATTTGGCCAAAAACTAGACATAGCCAAATGTCTATTAGTAGGAAAACAGGCACAAACAAGATAAAAGAAAATCCCAAACTACTCCTAGAATGGAACACTATTCAGTAATAGAAAGAAATGGGCCACTGATGCAGCCAATGTGGCTGATAATGAATGAGAAGCATTATGTTAAGTCACAAAGCCTTATAGAAAAAAACCTTATGTGGTTTTATATGAGATTCCCAAATAGAGAAACTAACTACCTAAGTCAGCAGTTGCCTCTGGGGGATGGCAGTGCTGTACGTCTTGATTATGGTCTGAGCACATGGTGTTTATACTGTTGGAACTCACTGAACATAAATTTTGAGATGTGTACTTCATTGTATGTTAATTTCACCACACAGCATTTAAAAAGGCCATGTAGAAAGTAAGCAAACAAGAAAATACACAAGATTTCAGATGGTGGAATTATATTGTTCAATGCTTCTGTGTTTATGGAAAGGGACTCTGATCCCAATTACAGACTATTTAAATCTAAGGTGCTGCTGCCCACCTGCGCACATGAACACCCACCAAAGTTTAATTTGTCTACAGAGATTTTTTTCTCTCTCTCTTGTGGTTGCTTCTTTTCCAAATAGGCAGAGTTCCAGAATAAGTTCTGGACTCAATCTTCTGTGAGAACTTTGTTACGATCTTAATTGCATTGCCAACAAGTTCTTCATTGTCAAAAACAGTTCAGAATTCACCTAAAGGAAATGTTCTAATATAATATTTAACTTCTGAAATTTAGGTTTTTCTTTAAAAAAAAAAAGATGTATTTATCTATTTATTCAAAAAGCAGAGTTACAGAGAGGCAGAGAAAGAGAAAGAAGGAGGTGCCTTTCATCCGTTGGCTCACTCCCAAATGGGCGCAATGGCTGGAGCTGGGCCAATTTGAAGCCAGGAGCCAGGAGCTTTTTCCAGGTCTCCCACACAGGTGCAGGAACCCAAGCAATTGGGCATCTTCTACTGCTTTCCCAGGCCATCAGCAGGGAGGTGGATCTGAAGTGGAGCATCCAGGATTCAAACTGGCACCTATATAGGATGCCAGTGCCTCAGGCAGATGCTTAACCTACTATGTCACAGAAATGGCCCTGAATAGATATTTAATAGCTGCATCTTTTTTTTTTTTTTTTTTTGACAGGCAGAGTTAGACAGTGAGAGACAGACAGAGAGAAAGGTCTTCCTTTTCTGTTGGTTCACCCCCCAAATGGCCACCACGGCCGGCACGCTGAGCCGATCCGAAGCCAGGAGCCAGGTGCCCCAACCTGGTTTCCCATATGGGTGCAGGGTCCAAGCACTTGGGCCATCCTCCACTGCCTTCCCAGGCCACAACAGGGAGCTGGACTGGAAGAGGAGCAACCAACACAGAACCGGTGCCCCAACCGGGACTAGAACCCAGGGTGCCAGCACCGCAGGGGGAGGATTACCCTAGTGAGCCAAGGTGCTGGCCAATAGCTGCATCTTTTAAAATTATTTTTATTTACTTGAAAGGTAAAGAGTTACACATAGAGAGATTTTCTGTTCACTGGTTTACTCTCCAAATGCCTGCCTCGG